GTTAAGACCCTTTCATAAAATCTGATATTCTTTTGTAGGATGTACATATCCATTAATACGTCTACCCTGCATGCTTGGTCTACCTAAGGGGTCTTCTAGTAGTGGAGGGGGGGAAAAAAAAACAACATACACATATCCGAGGAGACCGAAGGGACTCGGCAAACCCCGTCAACTGCAAAGGACGTACGCAAATAAAGTTTGTGGGCTCTGTTATCGACCACGACCACCCAAATCGTGACAGAAAAGAAGCTGAACATCTTCTGGTGGATTTCGCAAGGATCATGGAGGAGAAAGGTGCATTTTTCGTTCGATAGTCAAACTCTCCGCACACTGATATAGAGTTGGACCGGAGTAGATGATATTTCCGACACCGAGACCCTGTGCCTCTCAGAAATCTCCGATATTTCAGACACTCAAACAATCATCGATCTTCCGCTTGACAATTTCATCGAAACTCCGGTCAACGTCCTCCCTAACCCACTCTGGGCTCTCGATGAGCCTTATCTTACGCAAAACCGGTACAAGAAATACGGGGACTACAGACTACGCAACCCTCGGCAACGCATACTCCTTCCACCCCCGGAGTCTATCGAATTCTCCTTCAGCGACTTTACATCCGCTCTCGGGCGCACGTTTTTGGTTGCGCAACGGACACCACAGTCTCGCACAGCACCAGGCACCTTCAAAGAATTCACAAAATTCTCGAAGAAACTCAAGTTCAACCTTACACTGTCGGTGCCCCCAACACAGACGAGTGAATCGGCAGGGAACCTTTTGGAAGTCAGGAGGATGCTATTTACTGGCCTCATTAGTTTTGCGGAGGTCTGGGAAGATGCCCTTCCAGACGGGGTCGACAAGAAGCTACTGTACAAGGTGTGTCTGACTTCGAGATCTCCCTCCCCTGAGCTGGCTGACCTGACACCTGTCGTTCTCGTTAGGATGCTGTGAAATTTATCTTGAAGAGCGCTGGAGTGCGCAAGCGAGAAGACCATCTTGGGCTGATGTTGGGGAGGGAGGTCTTTGCTTATGTTGATGCTGACTGGAAGAAGATCATGGAGGAGGACCTTGCACGCAGCAAGTGGAAGGGATGGAGGGACGGGGCTCTCTAGGGACATCTCACCCATGAACTTAGGGAATGATTTGAATGTATCGAGCACATCGTATTGATAAAATCGGATAGGAAACTACCGAGGGATTGTACGTACAAGATTGGCGAGGGACTTACGAATGCGAACTATGTCTCTTTCATGTACGTATGGGTAATCTTTTTTTTTTTTTTTTTTTTTTTTTGTATTCTCGGATTACCGCTAGCAGGTAAGACTATGTACCAAGGCGCGGGGGGCTGCGTAATCTACAGTGTCTAAATGTAGGTAGTGAGATAGAGCCCGTCCAATGGGTAGAGTTCTATTTGATGTATCTCTTTAGTTGCGTTGAGCGATGCTTCGTGGGGTACGTTTTATGTGTGTGGGTAGTGGTGTTGTCGGATTGGTGGTCCGCTTGGACCTCTGGTATGATTGTGGGCGAGATGAAACCTACCCCTGCCGCTCCACTACGGTTTTCGCTGCCTCGTTTCATCGCGGTTAGGGGGGGAACCCTACGTATGGGTAATCATACCCGGGAATAACCGCTGCCATTACCCAAAGTACCATACCCCACAGTCGTGGCCGTTGCGCTGTATCCAACCAATCTGAAGTGCTGTCCAACTTGGTAGCACGGATAGAGAGGGGAATCGCTGAACGAAGCCGTGATCCTTCGCCACGTTAACTAGCCGGCTGATAACAGCCTGGTTTTTCTGCAGAGGACAATAGTAGTCAGAGAAGCAAGGATACAATACAGAACCCGACTTACGGATACCCAACCAGAGACAAACGGACGTGAGCCACAGCTGTCGAAGACGTGTGTTGCCTCCTTCTCTATTCTGGCTAACGCTAAGCCCAGTGCTGTTCAGCTTCATCGTGGATAAGTAATACCAGGTGCCCTTCGTCCGGTATTCAGTGTCACAAACTAGTCGCCAGGCGGTCTCGGTTCGCGATCCATGCCCCAATAACTCTGGCACGGCGAAGCTCGAGAGGACTGCGCAATCGAAGTCGGGTACTTGCAAGGTCCTCTGAAGCAGCGCAGCGCATCCATTGATGCGTCGATCGTCGAGCCATCGCAGTGTTGCACAGTCGAGCCTCTCGTACTGGGGAGCTTCGAATGGAATTGCAGGAAAAGGGATGGTTCTTGATGCCGCTCAAGAGCGTAGCATCCACCGATATAGAGGCCTGTAAAGGTTTGATGAATAGATAGCATAACATAGAACAAGAGTCTAAACAACTCACTGGTGCCTCCCATCGTAGAAATATGGGCTCCTCGCCATCGTCAAGCTCGCAGTCGCCCATCACATCATCAGAAACGAGCCTTTCGCCGGTGATCTGAACTTCGTCATCATCATCATCGGATTGAACCTCATCGCTGGTCGGAGGTCGTTGAGTTGGTGATGAAGGTAGCATGGACGAATATGGAGGCGGAGGCGGGGAGAGCGGGAGTGGGGAGGACGGAGGTGATGGAGGTGGAGGTACAGGCAATGGAGGTGCAGGTACAGGCGGCAAGAGTGAAGGTGGATGCGGAGGTGATGGACGCCGCAATAGGGTGGATCCGGCGGGCTTGAATAGCCATTGTTCAACCAACGTAACCTGCTGTCGAAAGACAGAAGCTGGAACGAATGGGTTCGCCCAACCATCTGCCAGGCGCATACGGAGAAGGGTGTGGTACATTGCATCGATTAGGACAAGTTAGAGTATTCTCAGGAAGGGTGAGCCTCACATGTGAGGATACCCTATTAGGTGGGATTCTCACGTACAAAGGACCCCCCCACCCCCCCCCCCCAATAGGGCTACCTCCACCTGTGACATGCGGTGCCTAAGGTGTTTCAAGTAGTCGGTACTGGAATTAAGTGCATTTCGACTCCAACCCAACACCTAGCATGAGAAAAGGTGAGGACTATTCCTTGAATGCTGACCGCCCGCGCGCTGATGACTGGCATGCTCTCACTATGCAGTTGCCCGTCATTTGGCGCCCATGAATGAGGCGAGCCTCACCGGAGACGCGAACCCACAGGACATCCGGAGGGAAGCTTTCGGGAGATATATCAGGGACGTGATTCCGCAGGATATTTTAAGAGAAATTTTCGGATATCTCATGGACCCCATCGTGTTCGACCAGCGCCGCAAATTGTTGAACATAGGAGAACGCGGGAAGGCTGCGGGAGGGCTGAGCAAGCATTGGAGGCGAACATTGGTAGACATGCCGGAGATGTGGGGAGGTTTGGAGGTGCACCTGGATCCTGTACAACACCTGACGGGCGGGTTTCCTAGGAGGATGACGGAGAACCTCCGGGTCTTCCTCGATCGATCGGAGGGAGTCCGGCTGCGCATAACCTTCACTTCGAAACCGTCGCTATTCTTCCCAATGACAAAAGTCCCCGATCCACTCGCCGCTCTCCTGGAGCATAGCAACCGATGGGAATCGGTCGTGTTGCCCTTCGGCAACGCCAGAGTCTATGATCTAGCTAATAGGTGCGAGTACGTCCTAACGTCGGACAGATTGCCCTACCGGTATCTGCTCCCACGGCTGCACAGTATGCCAAAGTTGCGCTCCGTTGTGATCTGGAACCTCCCAAACGGATCTCCCAAAATGGAAACGGTGTTGCGGCACTTGTTGCGCGGGCCGGACCCAACCAAACACGGCATCTCAAAGCTTTGTCTCCATTCATTGACCGTGCGGGCGGCAGCCGATTATGGCGAGAGACCAGCAGAGCTGAAGAGGGACCAGCTAAACGGCTTTGTGACGGCCAGAACTTGTGAGAGCCTGACAAAGCTTGAGGCATCCCTGTCTCCATCTGTTGCCTTGCGGCTGTTCTCGCTCTTTCCCAACTTGGAACGGGCAGGAGTGTGGATCGCCCCCACAGACACCTTCCCTGTGTCTCCCCCGGGTCGTGTTGTTTGCCACAAGATCAGAGAGTTGCACGTTGCTCTCCCAAGCGATAAGTGGCATGCACAGATGTTTGTGGAATCTTTGTACCCGCATGGGTATCCCGGCTACCTCTTAGGTGGACTATGCTGCCCGGCATTGGAGTCGTTCTCTCTACGCAACATCTATTCGACGTTGGTCCCCTTCAACGAAGTCATCCCTCTCCCAGAAAAATTTATCCCCCGCGACGTGGCGGACTTCCTTGCGTTGACGGATGGGCTCAAGCGACTAACATTTTCCCGAATTCCTTTGCGGGCCTCGGAGCTCGTCGGGATCCTGGAGGTGACTGAGCGTCTGTTGTGCTTGGCGGTGGAGGAGCAGCCCATTCACTTCCCGCAGAAGGAGCCGCTTCTGATACCTGAGTTCTGTCGGTGGCTGGAGAATAGCAATCACCTCCCTGAACTAAAAGTGCTGAAGTTGGGGATTTTTCACCAGGTTGGGGAAATAATGCAGGACGGGAAGGTGGTAGAGGCTACGCTGATTCCGCAAAAAGGGGCTGTCCGTTTCGACTTTGACCTGCTGGAAACCGTTGGATAATCTTGCAGCTCAACACCAATGTTGGGGTGCTGGCCGGATAGATTGGTCCGAACAACGTCTTGTAGGGATCCGCACTCCAGCCCGCGGCACTCTTTAACCCAGGGTGATGCGGGACCGGCGGAGGACTCGGTTTTCGCTTTGCACGCTGCATGCTTTACTAGGTACACAATGTTCTTGGTTTGAAGTGGCTAATAACATCTGAATACAGAATGCTCCTGTAGGTATCCAATCTTTGGTGCATGTCACGCACCGGAGTATAAGTCACGGGGGCGCAGTGCTTATCTTGCGGAAGACTCCTGCGCGGGGCCCGCCCGCCCGTCTGCCCTGTTTCCCAGACACTTGACATAGGGCCTTGGCCGTCAAGGCCTAAGGCTTGAGGGGCTGCACCATATCCATGGAGTCCACCTCGTAGATCGGTGGGCAGCCTCCTAAAAAAAGATTCCATATATAGAAGCAACTGCCAGGAGTCGAACCTGGGGTCTGCGAGATGTGTCATTGAAGCTGTATTGACGTCCATGCACGCTGTGTTACCGCTACACCACAGTCGCTTACTTCCCGTAGACGTAGTTCAATCTTTGTTTGGTGAAACCCCCAACCCAAGACGAGAAAATCACCGGATAGTCCGGCAGGGAACTGTGGCCTGCATCGCTCTGGCTAGAGGTTAATTCTTTGGTCTTTGGGAATGGCGGCCGTGCGGGTAAGGCTCTAGTGTGGGCCGTTTGGGATTGATCAGCCATGGATCATTACCCGCCGAGGCTCCGGGGCCGCTAGAAGGACAACATATGATTTGATGGATTCTAGGATTGTGCGCGACATTGGTGTAGTGGTTAGCATGGTGTGGCCTTATGGTGAATAGGGTATGGGTTCTACGTCACCACACCGGCTCGGGTTCGAGCCCCGGATGTCGCAATGTCTTTTTCGGATTCTTATGGTTTGAATAAATACCAACAACGGATGTGCACCGCCAGAGGCATCGACGTATGGGCAATCTGGATGCCCAACCCAAGAATGACGGGCTCAACGCCTTGTTTCGCCAAACCAACGGCTGCGAGATATTGTGACGTACGAATTTCGACGAGTAAGCCTCCCCGAAGGGGAGCCGGGGTGGGCGGGGAGGTCCGTGGGCAACTATTGACTTATGTATTCAGGCCGTGTTCAACATCTATTTCTGACTTTATCAGGCTATGCTACGGGCAGGGCAGTTGTAGTGACAAAAAACGCCTTTACAATGAATATGAGATATCATTCGTAATGATGGGGACACTTTGAAGTACAAACCAGGGGTTTAATCGGTGACACGGTATTGATCCATGATCCGCCCAAGCATCTGTGCTGATTCATCGAAGGCTGAGAGGAGCTCTTCACGAGTCATTGTCCCGAAAAAAACCTCCGCTGTGTTATTGTAGATATGACGCTCCACGTCCATAATGTCGATGGCGAGAGGGGGGTATTCAACCTCGTCCTCCTGCGGCTCGTCCTTTACAACGTGGGCTTCGGCTGCAGTCTGGGGGAGATGTTAAGGTATACAAACGAGCTGAGAGAAGAGTTGATTTGACTTGCCTTGATATCTTTGGCTCCCAAATGTTCAAAGTCGAAAGGGGGGTACTGAAGCTCGTCCTCCACAACTGGCATCCGTGTGCTATCCATGATCTTCTGGAGCTCGTTTTTTATTACGTGGCTTTGCTCGGTCGATGTTAAGGTATACAAACGACTGAGAGAAGAGTTGATTTGACTTGCCTTGATATCTTTGGCTCCCAAATGTTCAAAGTCGAAAGGGGGGTACTGAAGCTCGTCCTCCACAACTGGCTCTTCATCAACGCGTGTGCTTTCCGCGATCTCCTGAGCTTGTCTTTATGACGTGGGCTTCGGTTTCGAGGGAAAAGTTGAGACGCAGGAGCGGTTACAGAGAGAGAAGGGTGTGGTGCTGACATTGAGATCTTCGTGTTGCAAGTGCTCCCTACCGGTATCGACCGGGGCCGCTGGCCGCCCACTATCGCTGACCACTGCTTGTTCGTCTCCAATGGTTTCCATCTATGAAATAGTGATATAGGGAAATAAATTGAGACCGGAGGTTGTAACTTACTATTCCATCTTCACCAACGGTCCTGCCTCCTAGGTCCGAGTCGGACGCAGTCTCGTTCACACCCGGGGCATTTGTTTGTACCTTCGAAACACGCGACAAGTGGGTTTGTGTCTTCGGAGGAACCATCATCGTGTTCTTTGGAGCGAGTAGCCAGTTTTGTAGCGTGTAGAATAGTTCCTCGGTGAGCTGCAGTTTCTCCATAATTAGCATCTTTCTGAATTCCCTGGTCGAGGAACATTTAAAACGCCCTTGGTGACAACGTTGACAACGAGTGGATGTCCCTGTCGTCAGAGGTGCGCAAGCCACGTCTTCTTCTTGACACTCCTTGCAGCACTAGAGAGATGGTAAATGAGAAGGATAGAACTGGAAGAGATGTAACTACCAGATTTGAAGATCGTCTACGCCACTCTAGTCGCTGGGCGGGTGTCCCCTGTAGCGTATTGTACGCTTTCCTGAACTGCCCCTTCATATAAGTGCTGACCTCGCGGCTAGATGTTTCTCTTCCTTTCGTGTGCGGCGCCATGGGTTGGGGAAGGTGAAGTAGCAGCGTCGTAGAATGATGGAGGAGTAGAAATATAACTTCAACACCAAGAATGACTAAGCATCCACGACGCGCGCGTGGTTCGGACATATCGGACCCGGGACGGAAATCCAAGTACTCGATGAAATTCTGCCAGGCCATTGTTGATCAAGCTGAATTCACAACAATCCATAACAACATGTAGTGCCATCCGAGCAGCCATATTCGTCGTGTCTCGGCCCCTATCTACTCTGATTCCTATGAGTTTGCCCTCCATTAGCTTCCTTTCTTTCGAACTTTAGCCTTCGCCTGTGCTGATAAATCTGATGTTGTCGGGGTGCGCTCATCCCAGGTGCAAGTGTGGCACGGTGGTAGGCGTGGGTAGACGGCGGGTCTTTTCGTCTTTCGTCTTTATCTTACTTCTTAGCTAGATTTTGCCCGCCGCGGGAAAGGCCCAAAGGGCATTGCCTCGGAGGATGACAACAACAGGGACCTTGGAGTGAGGGGTAAACCCCAGGGGCTGATGCAAGGAGACGTGGTTGGCTGGGCGGGTGGCGAACACAAACTGTTTGGGGTGTGATTGATCACTCCGGCGCATTATTGCACCAACGTACGGTGGTCACGGGGAAGAGGACTCAATGGCGAATCAAGAAGTCCACCATCATTTGACGGACCATATAAAATGTATTACATTTCAATCATTGTGCGACATTGGTGTAGCGGTTAACATGGTGTGTCCATATGAAAAGGCACTTCCAGGTCTACACACAGACCCAGGTTCGAATCCTGGATGTCGCGGGACTTTTTTTTGAGTGAGTGGTGCTATTGACGGGCCCGCCCTCCATCATTTGACGGACCATATAAAATGTATTACATTTCAATCATTGTGCGACATTGGTGTAGTGGTTAACATGGTGTGTCCATATGTAAAGGCACTTCCAGGTCTACACACAGACCCAGGTTCGAATCCTGGATGTCGCGGGACTTTCTTAGGTCTTCGGGCAGACACGTGGTGCGGAATCGCTCTCTCTCCTCCGTACCACCACGCTGTCTGCACGCTACCCTCAAGCTGGCGACTCCAGCCAGCTGTCTCCTTCGTTTTCATCCGCCCTCCACTCCCTGTAAATGGGTGAGCTACACCAAAAGGAGGGTACTCACCCGATAGGTTCCTCCTGACCCCCCAACGATCCTTTCTGCCCTCCGGGACACCGTTCGACGAAGAGGTCGGATACGACTGCGCGGCTCAGATCGAGAATCTCCCGCCCACCCTCGCAGTCGTCTTCCCCTCCCCCCTTCCGAGTGTCGAAAGTCTCGCGGGGGCCCAGAGGCCCTTCGGGCCTTCTGCCCATACCTTCGCCTCCATCTTAGCCTAACCTATACCTTCTCTAGTCATTCGAGGGGATCAGGAGCATCGTACCTAGACTCCCTGATCCTCTCCTCTCTCTCTCATTGAGCACCTACAGGATAGCCCGAAGACCGACGTTTGCCCAATTGTAATTGGGAGGCTCCCATAGCCTTCCAATCCTCCCAATTACAATTGGGCACGCCATACAAATTTTCCGCCACCGCTCTGCGGAAAACATACATCTTTGTCTATTCTCAACAGGAAAAGGTAGCTCACTTACTACGCACGAGCATCAGCAAGTGTGAGGGACGGAAGAGAAGGTAAGGGAATAAACCAATACCCCGATATCCAATTCCAACGCCCCGACGCCCCGACGTTTGCCCAAATTGTAATTGGGAGGCTCCCAAAGGCTCCCAATTACAATTGGGCATGCCATACAAAAATTTCGCTACCGCTTTGCGGTAAACACAAATCTTTGTCTATTCTCAACTGGAAAGGGTAGATTACTTACCACGCACGAGCTTCAGCAAGTATGAGGGACGGAAGGGAGGGGAAGGGAAGGGAAGGGAACAAACCAATACCCCAACGATCCGACGCCGGACGCCCGACGCCCCAAATAAAGCCCGATAGGGAGTGGGTCCCAATTACTATTGGGATGAGTCGGTCCCGATTAACCTGACACCCCGACTATCCCGACAACCGGAATTTGTAACCGACGCCCACCCAATTGTTATTGGGATGGGCTGTCCCGTATGTTTCCCCGTATCCCAATTATTATTGGGTGATACCCGGGACGGCCAGGTGGGATTTTTTCCTCCCGCTTCGCGGGTCTGCAAGGGGCTGATGCAAGGAGACGTGGTTGGCTGGGCGGGTGGCGAACTCAAACTGTTTGGGGTGTGATTGATCACTCCGGCGCATTATTGCACCAACGTACGGTGGTCACGGGGGAGAGGACTCAATGGCGAATCAAGAAGTCCACCATCATTTGACGGACCATATAAAATGTATTACATTTCAATCATTGTGCGACATTGGTGTAGTGGTTAACATGGTGTGTCCATATAAAAAGGCGCTGCACTTCCAGGTCTACACACAGACCCAGGTTCGAATCCTGGATGTCGCGGGACTTTTTTTTGAGTGAGTGGTGCTATTGACGGGCCCGCCCTCCATCATTTGACGGACCATATAAAATGTATTACATTTCAATCATTGTGCGACATTGGTGTAGTGGTTAACATGGTGTGTCCATATGTAAAGGCACTTCCAGGTCTACACACAGACCCAGGTTCGAATCCTGGATGTCGCGGGACTTTCTTTTGAGTGAGTGGTGCTATTGACGGGCCCGCCCTCACAACTGGTCCCTCGGTCCTCCGTCTATTGATGAAAACAGAAGCGTACCTGTCGTGAACGCTCCCTCCTCCGCGTGTTGGTCAACGGTCCCGGCCTATCTCCGGTGGTAACCAACCGTTCATGTTCCCCTTTATCCTTTGTTAGTGGTCCGGATGGTACCTACCGTTTACGCTCCCTCTGTGTATTGTCTGGAGCGTCAACGATCAATAGCTATGTCAGTTTTCCGGCTGTCGTAAAGGGTTTCGGTCGTTCCCGGTCGGTAAACAGTTGTTAATAGTCCCTCGTTGATGGTTCCTATCGTCCCTCCCGAATAATGCTCCCGCCTCCTCTGTGGGTTGTGCAGATCATTTCTGGCCTTGTGCCCGACTCATCGCCCATTTCTTGGCTTGCCTCTAGTATCCCCTGGTCAACTTCTTTACAGGGTAGGCTCCAATCGGTCGTTGCGTGTGGTGTGCAGCGAACAAAACCGCACGCTTCCGGGCGTCGGGCGTCGGATCGTTGGGGTATTGGTTTGTTCCCTTCCCTTCCCTTCCCCTCCCTTCCGTCCCTCATACTTGCTGAAGCTCGTGCGTGGTAAGTAATCTACCCTTTCCAGTTGAGAATAGACAAAGATTTGTGTTTACCGCAAAGCGGTAGCGAAATTTTTGTATGGCATGCCCAATTACAATTGGGCAAACGTCGGGGCGTCGGGGCGTCGGGGCGTTGAAGTTGGATATCGGGGTATTGGTTTACTCCCTTCCCTTCCCAATTACAAATGGGCAAACGTTGGGTTTCTTATTCGGGGCGTCGGATTTGGATTGTCGGGGTATTGGTGCGAGCATGTTAGTGGTACAGTGATGCGAAAGAGTCAAATATGCTTCAAGTTCGGGTAGAAGAAATGAGAGTTGACAAGGACGAACAAAACCCAATGTTACCAACCGCATGGCGCAGCGTGAGCCAACATCTTTTGGGGGCGCCTCCCAATTACAATTGGGCAAGCGTCGGGTTTCCTATTCGGGGCGCCGGGCGTCGGGCGTTGCAATTGGATCTTCGGGGTATTGGTGTGTTCCTTCCCTTCCCTTCCATCCCTCACAGTTGCTGATGCTCGTGCGTAGTCCATGATGTACCCTTTCCTGTTGAGAATAGATGTGTTTTCCGTGAAGCAGTGGCAAAGAATCATGGCGCGCCCAATTGTAATTGGGAGCCTCTGAATGACCGAGCGGGGCATCAGTGCCCAATTATTATTAGGCAAACATCGGGGAGCGTCGGCGTCTCGGAACGATTGCCGTGAACAGAGAGACAGCTCAGGATCGAACAAGGATTTTGTGTCAGAGGAATAGGGGATAGACAACAGAATATCAAAGTCAAGAAAGCTCACGAATATTGTACAGATATGAGAGAACTACAGAACTGCCTCATTCCTCTTGGCCGAACGTATACATGATGTCCCCCAACCTCAAAGCAGCTTGTTCGTAGCGTTTGATACTTCCTTGACGCGTTTCTCTGTTGAAGCGAAGAGAGGTAGTAACTTCTTCAATCTCGCGTTTCAGGTGCCGAAGCTCGTCAGCCAACGATGGATACTCCAGCTCGTCCGCGACAAATGAGTTTGTGGCTTCACCTCTATGAATCAGGTCAGTTTGTTTCACACCCGTTGAGTGTCGTGCGTGTTTACCCTTGAGAAGAACTAGCTCTGGCTTCCAGGCTAGTAGCGACCCGGCTTTTGGTGCTTGTACTGTCCACAGTCTGCTAGGAAATGTGAATCATGGGGATGAATCATAGGCTCAAAAAGTCGCACTCACCATTGCATCATGTGCGTCTGTTTCAGTTTTGACCATGACCGTTTCCGGTTCCAGATCTTCTTCTCCATCACTACCGGCCCCTGCTTCCTCGGCTGCAAGAACAGTCCGTCCCCCAACCTCCTGCGCCCGGTTGTGAGATTCGGCGCCTCTGTTTCTACCCTCTTCTGAGCCGTCTTCCAGCGCCTGAAGTTGATTCTCGTTGATCTTCAGCTTCTCCATCATTAGCATCCTCCGGAAATCCCGCGACTTAGAACACCTAAGATGGCCTTTATCGCATCGGACACAACGGAGGCCCGAGGTCGACTTTCCCGTCGGGACACTACATGGCAGATCGGCTTGTTCGCATTCCTCGCACGACTGTCAAAGATTGACATTAGATAGAGATTGACAAGGACACGAATAATCTGACGTACCTTATCCGCGTTTTGCGTACGCCACTCTCGTCGTTGATCGGCCGTTCCTTGCAGTTTGTTGGCTTTGGATAATGTTTTGAACTCTTCCCTAATAGCTCCAGAGATGTCACAGCTGACCTTGTGTTTTCCTGTCGAGTTGGGCGCCATGACTTCGAGGACAACGAAGTTTGAGAGAGTTGGAGTTAGAGTTGGAAAGGAACCAGTGGGATGAGTCAGCTCAGCCACGCGTCTGACACGGTCGCACGTGAGACGCGTTTCGGACATGTCGCCGATCTACCAACACTTCGCACCGAATAGAAAATGAGACTCTGACGTTTGACATTGTAGGGAACATGATGAATTCTATTACATACATACTACACGTCGTCGTCGTTATCAATCCCGTCAATACAATCTACGCTATCGTCCCGAAGATCAAGCTCTGCCTCGAGCTCGGGCAAGCTATCGAGCACGTCACTGTTCTGAGATTCTAAAAGGTATGGAGCAATCGCCTTCGCACGCTCTCGAATTGCAGCCCTGCTCCGAGCCCAACCCGCTGCCCTTATCAACTCAATCCTAGAATGCTCCCGCGCATAAGCCGCCAACCCTTCTTAAAGCCATGGTGAGATGTCCTTTCGCAAACCAATACGACTCTTCCACCAATCAGCTTGGGAATGACAAAACACAATCGCACGCCGCATTTCCTCCTCCACAAGCCGGATCTCTTCCCGAGATCGCCGAGCCCTTGCACAAGCTTTACACCACTCAGAGCGCAAACCTGGAACTCATGGTCAGCCCTCGAAATATGTGCATAAGCAAATGACTTACTCTCTTGTATCTCCTCGAAATCGGCCCCCTGTTTGTTCGAGATAGACGGAGTACTTCCGTCACTTCCCTCGACAACGCTCCGATGTGTAAACCAAATCCAGGATAGGTGGTCCTTGCTCTGACCAAGGGACAACGTTGGGTTGACTGCGATCGTTGGAACGTTGAGCCCGCCGACTAGTGAGTTCACGTCATCAGCGCTCAATCCGGCACGTTCCCAATCCTTTTGGAACTGCTCCTTTTCTTTCGATCGCAGGAGCCGCTCGCTTATACCTCTGACGTCCTCGGGTTTCAGCTCGCGCAAGGTACGGCACCAATCACTTTCGCCAAGAGCGTATGGTTCTTGAGGTACATGCTCTGGGAGGCGCCCGCATGAGAGGATTTCTTGTAGGCGACCGTTCTTGCCCGGAGCTGCGCTCGTAGGCGACTCAAAGCCTCATGGGCCTGAGCATAGCATAGCCTGTCCTCCAGGGATATGACTTCGGGTGGACATATGAACAACGGCTTTGGCGAGTTGGGAAGGGGTTCTGGCGAGGAAGATAGGGGAAGGATTGGTCGCCGGAGCGATGGATCAAGAGAACTCGGGAGGAACAACTTCATTTCCTCAGGTTTGACTCGATGAAGTGGTTCATCAAAGTGAGTGTTCACCAAACAAGCTCGGCATGCCATCCTAAGCCCGAAACAATCCAAACGTCGAAAAAGTGCATCTCCAGATGCACAGCGTGAACAACGGCTGTCGAAGAGACAGCCTCTGCCCTCAGTCACCAAGTTCCAATCAAGGTATTCATTCCTATGAGCATCTGCCCATGTGAGCAGTGGGGCATCCTATTCGTAGGTTAGCAAGGCAAAAAACAGAAAGAGCTGGCACGTTTATACGTACCGAGTCAACATAACGCTTTGCTTTCACGTGGGCTTTGACCTTTATGTTTCCGGGATCCTCAGTCTTTATCTCGGGCTCAACATCTCCTGATTCTCCCCAGTCCATCCCAGAGTCTATGATTTCGTTTGCCGGTATGTTCTCGTCTTCAAATTGAGTACCTGAGGACGCTATAGGAACTTGGGGGAGGTCGAGTTCAATCGTTTTTTTGTAGACCCAATATTTAGACTGAGAGAGGATTTCATGAGACGAAGTGTTCTTGGCACCGTCGGTGGAAAAATCATGGAAGCGTTGCTTGGTCTTTTTGGATTTAGGCATGCTGCGAATCCGATGCGCATCACACGCGTCGTCCTTGCTTGTCGGTGTTGGCGTCTACTCCGCGTGACCTCGGCGTTTGCCGAGATTCTCAACCAGAATCTGGGGGGCCACTATATAAAGAGCGCATTTCTCTTTTCCTCCGTCTTCAGCATACCCATCATCTCTGCTCCCTCTCAATACCTTTCTCTGACCATGTCCAGCAACGAAAACAACGAAGCCCCACCCAACAATAGAAGTGAGTAGGAACCAGTTTCTTTGTCCGGCGCCCCATTGACCACCCTGGCAGTGCTTACCGACGTCGACCAGTTCATCGCTGCGGTTGACAACGCCATCGCCACGCGTAGGTTTTTTTTCTTTCTTCTTTTCTCTCTCTCAGTTAGCTCAGGCCTTGGTATCAACAGGCGTTCCCGCTGCTGTTGAGGCGGCACTCACCTCAATGCTCGATGAACGTAAGTATTGGATTTTTTTTGTTTTTGAGACCATCCTGCTCAACTTCTTCCCCATTGACAGGCCTCGCGTATGCGAACCAAACGGTCGCGAATAACACGAACTCAGGCGCGTCTAACGATTCTAGTGCAACCGG